TGTGTCAGCGGATTCTTGTCTTGGATCCCGCCCAGCGGATGGACGGTAGTCAAGCTGCATCGGTAGGCCTTAGACGCTCGTGCTGTCGTCAACCTGAAGGCCCCGGCCCGGGAGCAAAGAGTGGACTGGGTGTGGCCAAGGCGAGGCGGCCAGATACCATAAACCAACTGGAGGCTGGTCAATTTGCTAATTAGCCCACATGTTTCTGCTGCCGGTGTCCGGCAGCGGATATCCGCCAACTGTCGACAACTGGAGGGGAAACGGAGGATCTGGACACCCGCCTGAGCCCGGGCGGTCCGAGGCAATCCAGCGCGTCTGCCCAGTTGGCCGGGACTCGAGCCCAACTCTTGGCTGTTGGAGTGCCCCACGTCGTAGGTAGGATTTGCCGTCACATGAAGGAATTACGAAGCAGTCGAGAATGGCGTCGCCAACCAGCAAAACTGTGCAATCTTCGAGAGGTACACTCTGCCCGAAGGATAAAGCACTGTTAAAAGTGACCGCAGTGTCGCCAGTTCTTATATACCAGATACTACCAGATACTCACAAGACTCACTACTCAATATTAACATTACTTACCAACGTAACTACTCACTTTACACACTACTTATGCTCTTCTCACACTATTCACACTACACACAGTATTCACATTATTCATACTCTATTCACTCTATTCACAGTACTCATTCTAGCCACACTACTCAAAAGTTTACATTACTTTTAGTACTCACATTACTCACACTATTCACACTATTCATACTGCCTACAGTACTCATCCTACTTACAGTATTCACATTATTCACATTACTCACACCACACGCTCTATTCACTCTATTCACAGTACTCATTCTACCCACACCACTCACACCATTTGCACTACTCACACAATTTACATTACTTTTAGTACTCACATTAATCACACTATTCACACTATTCATAATGCCTACAGTATTCACATTATTCACATTATTCACATTACTCACACCACACGCTCTATTCAATCTATCCACAGTACTCATCCTACCCACACCACTCTCACAATTTACATTACTTTTAGTACTCACATTACACACACTATTCACACTATTCATACTGCCTACATGACTCATCCTACCTACAGTATTCACATTATTCACATTACTCACACCACACGCTCTATTCACTCTATTCACAGTACTCATTCTA